TGTCCTCTCTCAAGGAGTATTCAAAGGTGCAAGTGGTAAAGAGAGGTTTCCCATTCCACAGAGATTAGAAGATAAAGAAGAAGACAGATCGATTTCACTCTTCTACTGGGCCTCTCAGCAACCCAAGGACTTGCATAATCTAATGAAAACCATCAAAACCCCAGTGAAGAAAGGCACAAAACTGAGAAACAGAAGAGCAAGTTATCTCATTCCTCATCCATATTAACAGTAATAAAAATAAGAACTGCTACTTTTTATTTAGTGCCCATTAAGTACAAGGCATTGCTAGGTTCTTTACAGACATGATGTAAAGAATCTATCAAATTTCAATAGGCCTCCAAGGGCCCTTTTTATCTATATTGTACATAAAGAAAGAAACTCAGAAAAGTTCAGTAACCTTCTCATGGGGTCAGACAGCTAGCCAGTGCTAAAACAGGATTAGGACTTGAAAGCCCACTGTGCTTTTCTTCACTGTTGCTTCCCTTGCTGTGCCATTTAAAAGTGAAACCAGCACGCATTAGGATTTTAGTACTTTCTTTCTGTAAGCTTTTGATACCACTGTGGATCTGAGTCACATGGTCTAGAAATACAATTAGCTCAAATGTTAATTTCCTAATAGCTACATCCTGTGTCTTACAATATTACAGTTTCAGAATTACTGTTATTGGACATATTTCTCTTGAAGTTTCAGATTTCTCTCTCCTTTCACACTCATTCAGACAGGCAAAAATCCACTAGGTTCATCAGACTACTTGGCTTTGTAAACAGCATAATCATTTAGGTGGTTAACTACTCAGGAAAGAAGTGTTCTTTGTTTAAAAGACTTAAAATTGCCAAACATTTTTATATTTTAATAATAAATTCTCAACATTCTGTAAAAACAATTTCTTCAAAAGTCTCACTCCAACGCAAACATGTAAAGTACCTTTCGTTTTTTACTAAAGCACTGGTCTGTATTTGTATAGTTGAACAATGAAACAGTGATTAGAACTTTTAAAACAAAAAAACCTATAAATGTGGTATAATACATCTTTAAAATGCCAAAAATCAGAATTCATGGGTATTGTTTCTCCCCCGAAACAGACTGTAAAATGATCTGAAATTATCTGATTTCATGTATATGAAAGAGTCTGAATCATTCACATATGATAGGTAAATGTATCTGTAGTTAAAATTATATTGTTTTAAATTATAACCTCGTTTTATGTTTCTAAGTTTTATAGAGTTTTATGTACTGTAAAATCATCTATATTAACCTTGACAGGTTTATTCTGTAAAGGAGATTTGTACCTGAGCAATGTACTTAGAATAAAAACCATGGAAGTCATTTTCTTTTTTTTATCGTGTCTTCCTTTCTCCTTTGACAATAAAATGCTACAAATACAACTTATCCTTTGATGATTCAAAAATCATAAACCAATTATACAGACTAAACCACTTTAACTTTTCATAATGGTTTAAAATTTACTCCAATCCTCATTTACAATACAGAATAAATGCTTAAGTTAAATCCTTTTTTACCGCATGTAAAATAAGCCTTACATAATGCCACATGTTTATTTACATGCCTCTTCCTCTACTTTTATAGCTTACAAGATAGACCAACCATGAATCAGTAAACCTCTTCTGTAGAGGTTAAATAGTAAATGCAAGGTCTGACAACTAAGTCCCCAAACTTGCCACAGGGTGCTTACGTTGGCAGCACTATACAAATAGCTCAGAAAGGTTTCACAACCTTGGTATATCACTATTTCACACCTGTGTTTGTGTTGACATGTGGCGATGTCTAACCAAGTGGAGTTCATTATTGTTGTTGTATGTTTTTGTGTGCTATATGATGACAGCTCTGATGGTCATACCAGAGACATTCCAGAAAAAAGACTTCCAACATTGCTTGGAAGGACAAACTAAGCACTGGTGTCAGTGCATAGCTTCCCAAGAGGAGTACTTCAAAGGTGACCATAGTCAGACTCAGCAATGAGGTATGTAGCAGTTTTTCTAAGATTAATTTGCCAAGTTAACTGTCTGGCCTATTTTAGGCTAGAAGAGCCACAAGGTCTTTTTTGCAATTACTCGGCAGGTGGAACATAAAAACAGCCACGGACAATACAGAGGAAAATGGGTGTGGCTGGATTTTGCTGGCACCCCACTAAATTTGGCCATGGTATTAGTATGCTAACCCCCTGAGCTTCAATCACAGGGAAAAACATGAAATATAGTGCCACTACAATCACCCAGAGTGTCTAAATATTCAGCCTGACACAAGAAACCATTCACAGCCATGCTGAGTTTAGACTGCTTTAGCACTGAACAGAATTAATCTTGACCCAGACTGTGTACAATATCATAGTCTACTGAAACTAGATTCCATTTTTCCAGATAGCCACAGAATTTTCCTAAGCATTTTGACAAATAAGAATCTACTGTAACTGTGGTTAGGCTTTCTAAATTGTCTACTACCCAATCTCTTTCACCTTCTTTCCCCATCTCACCCCAGTTCCACTAAATGTTATAGATAACTTTTTGTCCCAAGAAGGTCAAAATCACACTACTTCCTCTCTCTATAAAAAGTAAATTCTATTTCCCATACTTCCGCTACCAGAGTTGAAGGCTACTTCATTTCAGATCTCCTTCTTTCTTGTTGCCTTCCACTGTATCAGCTATAGATAGCTAAATGCTCACTTTCTCATTCTCTTTTAACGCTTAGCATAGCCATGGCCACATAATAAAGCTCAGGACAATAAATATCACATGAAAGCCTACCAGGTAGGGTATATGGGGCTGCTATCAGTAAGTTTTCATGGTTTTAAAAAGAGAGAGAAGGAGTTATAATCACCAGTACCTCGTTCCCTCTTCTGCTTCCTTAATGCAAATGTGATGCCTAGAATCAGGGAAATAATTAGAAAAAACTGAGGACAGAACTGAAGCGATGCCAGCATTGAAAACTTTAAGCCACTAAATCAATGCCACAGGCCATATACCTCCAGACTTCTTGTTATGAGAGGAATAATAGACCTTATAAGTTGAATTTTTATCACAAATAAAAGCATTCCTAACCTACCATTTCTTGAAGGTGCGAGGATCCTGAGTCACTACTCCTCATGAGAAGTGAAAGAATAAAACTGGCTTTGCACAGTTTGTTGTGAATTCAACTAAACAGTATTTCTGTAAACCTAGAGACAAAAGTCTAGTCTAAGGGTTGATAACCAAGGGCAATGAAGTCAAAGAGGTCAAAGAGGTCAAAGAAAAGACAAAGGCAAAAGGCATTAATTCATCCTATTTTATGGCTGAGTACTACTCCATGGTATACATATACCACGTTAATCCAGTCATGAATTCATGGGCACTTGAGCTGATACTGGATCTTTGCAATTGTGAACTGTGCTGCAATAAACATTCAAATGCAGGTATCTTCTTGATAAAATGACTTCTTTTTCTTTGGGTATATACCTAGAAGTGGGATTGCTGGATCAAAGGGTAGGTCTACTTTTAGTTCTTTAAGAAATCTTCATATTGTTTTCCATAAGGGTTTTCCAGCAATTTGGAAGGAACTAGAGACCATTATCCTTAGCAAAGTATCTCACGAATGGCAAAACTAACTCCACATGTACCCTCTAATAAACTGGAACTGATGGGCACACAAGTGCACAGAAGGAAGTAAAAGTCACTGAAATCAAGCAGGAGCCGGGGGGGGGGGAACTCACCTACCACGATAATGACCACTATTTGGGTAATGGCCACATTTATAGCCTGAACTCAAGCTATGTAACAAACACATTTGTACCCTTTTAATATTTTGAAATAAGAAAAAAGAAAAAGAAAAGAGAAAGCCAGAGATGGTTACACAAATTCTGGAGATTACCAGGTTCTCTTAGTGAAGATAAAAAAACAAACAAATGCTAGAGATACAGGGGAAAAAAATTGAAAAAATGCTCCCGTGTACTATAAAGTAAAGCCAATAAGCCTTATTAATGTACTACTCAGCAAATCTAGTCTGAGATCGCTGATTAATTTCCCATCGTGAACTTCCACTGCTTGAAAAACAAAAGTTCAGGACTCATTTTTTATAGTTAAAGTATATTGTGTTTTTCAAGCTAATTAACTAAAATTTATGCTTCCTTGTCTCTGGTATTCACAAAGGCATAGTTACTATCAATATATGAACATTTTGATACTTGCAGAACTTTGAAATAATTACTAACAATCAAGTTAATGATAGCATTGCCAATAAGGCCAATGGGTCTTTGAACACACTTGTTTAGCTAGCAGTTCGGTCATCCTACTTGTAGGGAGTCAACATCTCTTCTACATCAATGCCACTGCATAAAACACCCAAAGAAAAGCAATTTTTCCCATTCAAAAGAAACTTCAGAAATATGCCTATGTTAACTCACATACCCCTTAACACACAACTTTTAAGTTAAAATGTCTAATTTTACTTTACTATGTTACAAATAATGCAATACACATACACACACAGACCCTCTCTATTTCTTACACCCAATAGTTTTCTGCTCCCTAAGAACGGTCTGGTAGTTTTACACCGTAGTGTAAACACTTATAAATTACAATACCTATACATCACAAAGGATTTTTTAGCCTTATGGTTTCAGAGTAGAATTCCTTAGGTTTATCAAAGCTTTAACTAGAAAGAATATTTAATACAAGGAGGTTTCAGGCTCATTTACAGTAGTGGAACAAAATTTAACAAAGTTCCAACACTACATTTTAATGCCCAAATTTCTTATTGTCTTTTTTAGTTGACAAATATGTGCTTTGCAGCATAAAAGCAGCAGCAGAACAGCTGGATGGCCTTATCAAGCACAAAGGAAGCAACAGCACATGCTGTTCAGTGTCTTTCTGATTGCTTAGAAATGGAAGCACATGCAGATTTATTCCCTGTTATAAATTAGAACAATTATTTCCTTGGAGTTTACATTTTCTTCCTGAAAGTGTCAAACTTTCTGCGCGTTAAAAAAGAGGACTTTCAAAAAGGATATCTTCCCTTTCTTTGATGATGAGTTCATTCTGTTCTTCCAACTGCCTGATTTTCTTCTCAAATGATTCCTGCTCAGCTTTCAGTCGTTCCTCTGTCACCTCCTTTTCCTCACTTACTCTGAAAGAAGTACAAAAATGAAAAAAAGCCTATTACAATAAAATTAAAAATATGCCAACAGCTGCAGTTTAGCAAAATTAGATTTCTTCCAAAGGTACACAGAATTCTTCAGGAACGTGGTGTTTTATTTTATTGTTGTTGTTGCTTTCTAATTTAATCTCTCATAAGGCCATCTTCCTCACTTTCATGATATGCACATAATTTTTACATTAAAAATGTTTCTAATCATCAGAAGTATCTTAAATATAAAAAGTCTTACAAAGGAAGGACTTTATAATCCAGGACAGAAAAATATCTCAATTTTTAAAACACAGGTTTCATTTTTTTCATTATCAAAATACGTACTTTACCAATTGATTTTGATTTAGACTGTTTTCATACTTCTATTCAAACCCTATCAATGAAATAAACAACATATATATCTTAAATGCGTCACCAAATGCAAATATGGAATTTTACTTTTTTCCTCATACTGATACCCTGCATTCTTTGGTAGTCTATAAATAATGACAATTAAATAAAAAGAAAGCATTAATGTAAAGGAAGGTCTAGAAATACCAACCAAAAAAGAACTGCATTATTATTTAACTTTGAAAAATATTCCAATTTAATCACACCAAAATGGGATGGTTTCTGAAAAGACCATAGAGGAAAACAAAGATCAGAAAAACAAAACTGAGTAACACCAACATTAAATTTTAGAATTCACTGAAATATATATTGGGACAACCCTAATCTTCATGCTACTCTGTCTGCAGAAACATTAACCCTGTATTTATCTGTCACTTGTGCTCATTTCTCCAGAGGATACAAAGCATTTCTCCTATACGATCACAGGGACAGGTATAAGAGAAATCCAGAGGAATCAAAACTTTTTCTTTTAACCACGTTTACTCCCTTAGTCTACCAGAGCAACTTCTATGTTAACATGAATCCCATGTTATAAGCCCTCTGGTAGAGACACTGAAATCAATGAGATAACCAAATGAAAATAAGAATCCCGAATGTTCATGAGTTGACTGCATCTTGTCTTTGAAATACAGTAATTTGTGTGAAAGTACATAGCACACAGCAGGACTCAGTAAACAGGTTTATTTCTTCTTGTTTATTATGACATTCAAGTCATTTCTCTGATTCATACATATTATTTATGTTTAGCATACCACTAAACTCATGAATGAAACCCCAGGCCCTTCTTTTGAAGAAAGTAATGTCTAAGACTGCTATATTTAGGCAGGGTGTGGTGACTCATGCCTGTACTCCCAGCATTCTGGGGCCAAGGTGGGTGGATTGCCCTGAGCGCACAGGTTTGAGAGCAGCCTGAGCAAGAGCCAGACCCCTTGTCTCTAAAAAAAACCAGCGAGGCATTGTGACAGGCGCCTGTAGTCCCAGCTACTTGGGAAGCTGAGGAAAGAGAATCACTTAAGCCCAAGAGTTGGAGGTTGCTCTGAGCTATGATGCCATGGCACTCTACCAAGGCTGCTTTATTTAAAAGGAATCCACAGATGACTAAATGAATACACATAAATGAGACAATTTATACTGTTATCAGGTTACCCTACCTCTCTTATTCTCATCTCCTTACAATGCCTTCCTTTTTCAAACATATTTGCATTAACATCTTTCATAGTAACTTTGACAAAATCTGCTTATTTCTCTGGGCATCATTACTCTCATTCATAAAGGAAAAAGGCCAGACCAGACAATTATAAAAATCCTATCCTGCTGAAGTTCTATAATTCCCTCCACAATATTATAAATATCCTGATACTGTATATATACCCTTTATAAATATGAAGAACATTTGCAAAACGGCATTTGGTCAAGGAACGAGGCATATAACAAGGCATATAATTTAGGCAAAAACTAGGCCCACAGGATGACAGAAGAAGTAGATAAATATTAAAATGTATAAAGATGAAAAATTTGGCAGGAGAATATATAAATGTGAAACAAAGAAAGCAATGAATCTGCAGGATTTTGCATAAAACAAAGATGAAATAAATGATGCAACATACAAGTTAAGCATCCCTTATTTGAAATATGGAGGATCAGAGTTTTTCAGATTTTGAAATATTTACATTCTCCTATGAGGTAATCATGCAGGTCTTTTTGACATTTTACACCACAGAGCAGAGAATAACAAACACAGTGAGTCACTGGCTCTGTGTGAGAAAGCTGCTCTGGGTGCATCCAGCCTGCACATGTGTCATTTCAAATTGTATATAAAAATAGCACACTGAACCCCATGACAGAATCAATGTACACAGTTATGATCTAATAAAAAAAACAAAGGACATAAGTTCATGCTTGTCCACAATTTCTCTTTCCATGGTTTCGGTTATTCACAGTCAACAGTGGTATAAAAGTATTAAATGACAAGTTGCAAAAAACAAACAGTTCGTAAGTTTAAAACTGTGCTGGGTGGTGCCTGTGGCTCAAAGGAGTAGGGTGTAGGGCTCCATATGCTGTAGGTGGTGGGTTCAAACCCAGCCCCGGCCAAAAACTGCAAAAAAAAA